CCATCCCCCCTTACTGCCTGCAACATCTCGCTCGTCGTTGCATGTCGCTGCCCATAATAATGTCAACGCCAAGTCAAAGCGTATCAAGCCGGGCACCCACCCCCCAACTAGCTTCAATTTACAACCAAATTCTCCGAGATTACCCCCTGAATTTAACTTGATCTCCTCACCCTACCCATGCTCAGCCCCTCAAACCAAGTCTTTGGGGTAGGTACTCCCGGGTACTTCGATTGACCCGGGCTTCGGGTGGGGGTGGTTTGACAGAGAGTCACATCGGCGTTATTTGCCTCACATGCCCAAACTACCCCCTGTACCCCCTGTACCCACGTAGAATTAGGGAATGGTGGCACGGTGGGTAGTACAAGCACTGAAGATCTCGGCGGCGGGCCCGGCATTGCCTCGCGGGAGTCGGACTGAGAGGCCTCGGACCAAAAAGGGCACGGCGGCGTCGATGACCACTGATCGAATCATCATAATCAGTGACTTGGCTCTACTATTGGAATCTTGCAAGTTGAGTCCAAGACTCCCATGTCAGCCTGTCTGTGCAGTCACCCCAAGCTTGGCAGGCCGCGGCTCAGTCCAGATTTTCTAGTCCCAGACCGTTAAAGCTCTAGCCCACAACTGTCTTAGACCTGCAGGCTTCACTTTTACTCAAAGTTAAAGTTAAAGATCAGTACGAAACTTGGCTCACCACTCGATAAGACGAAAGCCCTGAACTTCTCGCGTCTGAAAGAACTTCTGAGGTTTGTCAGAACCAAGTTCTTACAATCCGATCTCATACTTTCCTAGTTCTCCCAGTGTCTAAATTCCGTTTGCAGATCGATGAGGACTTTCTGTTCATGTCTTCCAGCAACCGAAGTTGCTGACTCCGAGTCCCGCGGCAGGGGATGCCAGCCTGTGCCTGTGCCTGTGCCGCGGCCGCTCGGATCATCCGGGCGTCGGATGCTAGCTGCCACGGCGGCAAATACCGCGACCCATTGAACCACCGGGACGAAGGGAAATTTGGCTACCAAAGAAGTGTCTTTATGACCTAGATATTACGGAAACATCGCAACTTCATCTTCAAGTTACTCCGCAAACCTCTTCATGCTCAGTTTTCGACTGATACCAACGGTTTCTTGCGTTGACTTTGCATTACGGTTCTCTTCCTGTTCGCAGTAGGACCTAGGATAGCCTGCTGAAATCTCGATGAGGTTCCATCTTTTGGATGCCTTTGTTCCTGCGTCTTGCTAATTTTCATGGCAAATGACATCCGCAAGTCATGAGGAACGCAGAATTTGACGCTTCTTATCCTCGGGTGATTGATCTCCGTAGCTTGAGTGGCCGTAAGGGGCGTTCGTGGTGAAGCTGCACATGCCAACCTTGCCCTCAGTTTTTGGGTCGTGATATCCAATTGTTTTCGAGAACTACCTTGTACCATGCTCACATCGTCCTGAAAATTGTTCAGTGAGCTGAAAATTGCTTGTTTCTTGTGGTCACACCTTACTGCAATCTTGAGTCAGAATGCACTTCATGATTGATTGGAAGTCTGCTGTACTCGAAACCAAAATTTTTCCCTGCAACTCTGCTGTGTTCTTGTCCTTGCTCGTTCTGAGCGGTGGTTGGTCTTTACCTCTGGGCTCGCAGAGAATTGAGAAATATCTGGAATACGCACAATCAGTAACAGCACAAGCGTATTTCAACAACCTCGAGCTTGTACGTTTTGTTTGAGGCATCGGAGGTGAGGTCTTGTTCGAAATTCACTTCTGTCCTCCTTGTTCTGTTCCCTCTCCCCCTTGGTTTCTCTGCCACGGCATAGCACAAGATCATCAGTACATCGAGAATGCCATGCTGAGCCGTTGGGAGGGATATTCTCCCGAGTCTGCCTCAGAACTGAAGTCGGGCAACGGGCCCGCCCGGATGCCGGTGCCGGGCCACTTCCGAGACCGGACATAAACACTGAGAATCCCGATCGACCCCGGACTGCTGAAACCTGGAGGTCATCCGAGGAAAATGAGGGGGATGAAGTTCACAAGGTGTCGTAATATTTCCGACGAGGGCGGACTGACCTCATATATACATGCAATGAAATCAATATTTTTATTATATTTTCAAAATATAAAACAATATTTGGAAAATTATTACAAAAAAATTTTAAATTATCTTTGCGCTGGCATTCTGAAAATCATGTCATGTCGGCCCCCGTTTCAGAAGAAACCCACCCACCCCCTACTTTTGGACGATTACCCACACCCACCCTCTTATCGATCTTTCTCCAGCATTTTGACACCCCCCATAACTTTTATGGACCCCAGCTTTCCCAATAAAACATGGCCTTTTTTACTATATTAATCACCACCCCTGTACGTCTGTACCCAACCAAAGACTCTTGTACCCCTAACAATAGCCCTTTGGCACCACAGCAATTAACACTCCAATCCTGGTGCGCCCCACCCCAATGTCCAGGGCTGAACTTCTTCATCACCCCCTGTAATCACCATAAACGTATCGATCAAATACTACCCCTCCATACTCCCTACCCCCTCCATGAATATTTACTAAAGTCAAGAGGTAGATTGTTTTGTAGCATTATCAATGAATGGTACACATCTCCTAAGGTATATAACTCTTCAAGAAAATTCGAATAATTTGCGAAATTTCATAAGTGAATTTCAGCTTGTATAATTTTAAATATTCAAATTTCCAAACACTTTAAGTTAATTACTGATGTATACAAATTTTCTAGGTACTAGTGCCCACACCCCTCAGCCCACCTCCACCCCACCCCCAATGCAAAGACCCCCCAACAGAACGTTCCCCACGTAAAGCATCTGTTTGATCCCGACCACCCCTACCTTCTCCACAAACACTACTACCTCACCCCCATCAAGAACAATAAGTACACCCCTACCCACCCTGTATGACTCATCAATTCACATTTATACCCTACCCATTCTTTCTAGTATTTTACACTACAAGGTACCGGTGGAATGAACAATGAGGACACCACCGGTTCCCTAGCTCCCAGGGCACCCTCTTGTGTCCCGTTAGACCCTACCCCGTTTCTTTCCAGATCATGTCTGACTTGCACACACTCATACCCCTTGATCTTGAAACTCTTCCTCGTGTTATTTGAAATGATATAACTGTATTTGATATTATCGAATATTAATTTCAAAGTAATACCATGAGGGGTGGGGTGGGGGCTGGGGAGGGTCCGGTAAAGGAGGAGGAGGAGGCGACACACAACCATCAAACATGCAGGGGATACTGCGAACGGGGGTGGCGATGGCGATGATGGTGGCGGTGGACGCATTCATGTCCTCCCCAGCCATGAGGATGCAGAACGTTAGGAGACTAAGGAGCTCAGGACCTGCCAAGAGGAGCTCGATCAGTCCAAGTAAGTTCCCTTCGAAAACTTTCGCGATTTTGCATGAAAAGGGGGAGACTGGGTGTGGATGAGAGAAAGCAGAAGGGAAATAGGAGGAGACATTGAAAATCTTGACTAAGGCTCGTGATTCGACAGGGATGACCCTTGCTCTTCCGCGTATGGAGCCGCTCCCTCCCTTGGACGGACAACTTCCCGACTGCCCGGTCACCATCTGGAACTCGGAGAACATCGACATTGCTGCTGAGCAGGTCAAGACTGGTGTTGCGCATTTACCATGCTGAAGGCTCTGTGCAGCGACGCTACAAAGAGGAGGGCATTCCCGAATCTCTCTTGGAGATCGTAGCTGACAGCGAAATCAACGCTCAAGGGCTGGCTTACTTCGAGGTAGCGAGAGCAGAGCGTGTCGAATGCGACTAAACTGTTCTCAGCAAAACAAGGAGATGATCATGAACCACTTGAAGCAGAATGGTGCTGTCATCTTCAAGAACTTTGACATCAGCAAGACTCCCGAAGGTACCCGATCTTCCTGCTTGACTACTCGGAGCTGATTTCTTCGAAAGGATTCCGCAGGGTCTGGGAAACCCTTGACATGGCGCCGTGCCTTGACCCGATCCACAACTCTGGACTTCGCTCATTCCTCTCATCCAGGTCTTTGATCCCCCTAGACCTCGTGCTGGCTCTCAACTGAGTGTCGGTCCTCAGGGACGGAGTTTACGAGGAGGTGAACAAGAAGTCGCTCGCCAAGCACTACATGTGAGGCCCGTCGGACTCGAGGACTGGGTTCTCACGTGCTTTACAGTGGTCTCCACAACGAGTCCACCTTCAAGAAGACTGCCACGTATGGTCGCGGATTGTTGGGTTTCCAAGCTTGACCTCACCATACCAGCTTCGGAGCTTTCGTTTGCTTCAGCCCAGCCAGTGAGAGTGGAGGAGAATTCTTCATTGCCGATGGAGCTAAGGTGATAGAGAGACAAAGACAGAGGCGTCATGTTGATGACTGAACATCTCTTCAGATCTTCCGTGATCTCAGAACCGAGGTGCTCGAGTCTCTCTACAACAAGGGGTCCGACATTCGTTGCGCTGCTTCCTCCAGCTTGACTGACCCTCGTTTCTCAGAGTGCGCATCTCCGTGTCAAACTTGGACCTTGACTTCCTTGGAGCCCTTGGCCCTCTCAAGGAGCCTGCCATGAACTTCTTCAAGGTCTTGCGATCTGCTGTCATGTTGGCACTCTGACCTTGTGCCAGGGATTGATTGGCTCCACTGTCGCCCCCAAGTTCGACATGGACCTTGACATGATCTACGGAGCTGATGGCAAGCCCCAGCGTCTCCAGGTGCCACTCCTGCTCCTGCTCCTGCTCCTGCTCCTGTGATACACGCTTACTATCCTGCAGGCCATCGAGCACCGCCAGTCCCCCATCAACAGACACCCCGAGACTGGCAAGCCCGTTTGGTTCTGCAACATCCACAACCATGCCAGGTCGATAGTGTGAGCTCGGTTCTGCGCCCGCGTGTCTTACCTTCGGTGAAGATACCTCCGCGACAAGCGCCCATGCAGCGTGCCCGAGGTGACTGGCGAAGGTCATGTCATGGTGTGTGATAGGATGAAATCAGGTCGGCATGACAGACGTCTACTACGGTGACCTCTCGCACATCCCCAACGAGTATGTGGATCACATCAACGAGGTTCATGGTCATGTCATCGCCCTCCTACCCTGACTCTGCAGCCGCAGGTTTCGGAGAAGCACATCCAGAATCTCGCCATGCAGAGCGGTGACGTGCTCCTTATCGACAACTACCGCATGCTCCACGGCCGCCAGACCTTCGCGGGTGATCGCCTCCATGCGGTTGGCTCCCTTGATGTCCCCTTTCCACTCCCAACTCATCCGTCGCAGGTTTCTTGGTTCCGCAAGGGTGACGAGGCTGTCACTCCTCAAGGCAAGCCCGGCAACTTGCTCAACTCGGTGAGGAGGAGGAGGAGGGGGCGGAAGAGGAAGAGCAGGGGCATGGGGCAGGGGAAGATGGATGCAAGCATTAGAGACTTATATGCTGGCAGGCTGTCAACTCTTTGATCAAGTAAGCACATCGAGGCTCCTCAAGAGATTGTCTTGCTTTGCAAGCCCTGTACCTGCTAGTCTGTGAATGAAGTGATGAAACCATCTTCTTTGCAGCTCTCTCGTTTCTTCCCTCCTCCTTCCATTCTGCGCTTGTGATTGTTCTCTCCGTTCATCCCTCTCCACCCCCCCCACGGTGGTTGCTCCTCATCTCTTCGCCGGAAATTTCTTGCCATGGCCGAAGTAGGTGAGGAGGTCGCGGTGGGTAGAGTTGCGCTCCTTGAATAGTTTCCTGCCGCTGCAGTGAGACGAGCGATACGAGGTGGGGGTGGACCTGAGTGAATGATGGCCGATGCGGTCGAGCGCGAGCTCCCCTGAGCTCATCCTGTTGCTCTGCTTCAAGCTCAGTCTCCTCGTCTCCATCCTACTTCATGTCCTACCGAAAAAGCCGCGTCGTCCTGCAAGTCTATGCTTCCCCCCTTGTCGGTCGTTGCTCGGGCCCTCACGTGACTCTGCAACTTTCTCAGCTCCTCGTTCAGCTCGTCTCGTCCTAGTCGAAGTTTCGGCCTGAGCAGCTCGTGACTTGAACCTCAGGCAGCAGAGATCTCGACCTTCCAAACTGCGAGGGGCTCATGGCCGTTAGCTCCAGCCTGATCGGGACAGTGAGTTCATCAAGGTCGAGAAGCGGAAAACAGCTGTGCGTGCAGAGCAGGAGAAAGAAGGGGCGAGAGGGGCAGGAAGGGGAGGAGGAGCTCACTGGGGTGTCTTGCAGGTCTCAGGATCTTCCATGCTCTGCAACTGACGTGAGACGCGTCACATCGCGTGCGGGTTGAGACCTCGTGAGAGAGGAGGGGAACACTCTCTGAGCGCTTTGACAGCCAGGAGGGGAGGAAGACAGGGTCTTGAAACCCACACGAGGTTGTCCCGAACATTCTCCGTGAAATCCTTCCCACGTTCTTCACTCGCAGCTCCGCATCCTAGAGCAGGTCAGCTAGCGCCAGCCTGCTGAGGTCGATCGCACTGAGAAGTAGCGGCGCAAGGGCTGCGACGAGGTCGGGGAGGTAGCGGCTTGAGAATCTTCTAGGACTGCACGCTGCACGCTCGACACGTTCTCTTCTTCTTCTCTTCTCATAAACTTGCTGGCCTGGGCCCCAACAAGCTCGAGCTCGAACACACCCTTGTAGCCCGTCCTGCACAGCAACGTCCTCCTCTGATATCGCCAGCTGCTCCAGCACGTCAAACACTCCGACAGGCAATGTCACCTCACCGGACAACACAGGCGCCTCCCCCAAGTTCCACGCTCACAACAACTCCAACAGCCTCTCGCGGTAGCCATGTCACCATGTCGCGCGCCTGATCACGAAGACAAACTTCCATGCCGACCCTAAGGCGAGCAAGCTTGTAAGCTGAAGCGAAGGGCAAAGTGGTTGACGCTGTGAAATAGTCGCACATTGCAAGGAAGGCAGAGGAGGGAGGAGGGGGGAAGCAGGTTTAGGAAGGAAGCGGAAAAAGGGGAGGAAAAGGGGGGAAAGGAGGAGGAAGAGAGATGATTATTGTGAAGATATGTTGACGACGAAAAAGGTGGTGGTGGTGGTGGTGGTGGTGATGATGGTGATGATGATGATGATGATGATGATGATGATGATGATGATGATGATGATGATGATGATGATGATGATGATGATGATGATGATGATGATGAGGAGGAGGAGGAGGAGGAGGAGGAGGAGGAGTACCTTGCTTGTACATCCCTACCGATGATCGCTCCCTTCGCCATGCTCCTCAGCCGTTTGACTTGACTTGAGCTGACAGGCATGGTGTTGCCCGGGGCCGGGGGTTGCGAGCACCCTGGCGAGCACCATGCCCGCCCGGGGCCCGGGGCCAACCGTGGCCCCAGTGGCGCCCGGTGGGGCCAGTAACTCCACTTCCCCGGCCCCCTCAACTTGCCTCACATCAGCCTCACTCTTGCCTCACTCGGTCGGCCACGCGGGGCTCCGGGGCCCGATCGGAGGAGCTCTGGGTGATCGACTTCCCGGCCGGTAGGCACGGGTCACACTGAAACCTATGGTCCGATCTCAATGCTGAGGCGGGCATGAGCCCAGTAAGCTACAGAGACGGTTTTACTCAAACAGTGCCAAGAGAGTGAAGGAAGGAAAGAATCTGCGTGACGTCAGCAGGAGCAGGAGCAGGAGAGAAGATGAGACCTCGAGGTCCACCTTGGATCTCGAGGAAGAGCGAACTAGAGGAGCGTCAGTGCTGGGATCTCACAGCACAGGCAGGAAACTTGGGAGGAAGAGAACGACCGAGACAGTTGGTGGCAGCATAAATGAGGAAGCGCGGTTGAAGGAAAGGAAGTAGAAGAACAACGATCACGGAAGGAAGAAGAGAGCAGCAGGCGAGAGGGGGGGGGGGGGAGAAGGAGGAGAAGGCTGTACCGATATGCTCGATTGCCTTGATGGCCTCCCTGTACTTTTCCTCCAGATCCTTTCTTGCCTTCCTCGTCTCTTCCAGCTCTGCGAGGTCTGCGTAAGTTCCTCCTCGCCTCCTCCTCCTCCTCCTCCTCCTCCTCCTCCAGCGATACCTTCTCTCTGTTCCTTCAAATTCTCCTCCAGACGCTCAATGTGATCGGAAGCAACCTTGCGCTGGCAAGAGAAGGGAGAAGATTAGAGGGCATCTTCTCGCCTCCTCCTACTCCTCCCACCTGCTCACTGGAGATATGTGCAGCCTTTGCGTTGAGCCCCTCAAGGGTGAGGATTTGATCTGAAGGATTTTGTTGAAAACCAACGAGGAGAAGATCGAAGGAGAGACGAAGGGCGAGCAGGGGAGGAAGCGGAGGAGGAGAAAGGAGAGGAAGGAGCAAGAGCTGGGGGTTAGAAGGTGGGGGGGGGGGGCGGGGGATGGGCAGGGAGGAGGAGGAGGAGGGGGAACCTGTTTTCTCCCGCACCAGCTGCTCGAGCTTCTTCTTGTTCTCCGTCAAGATTTTGTTTTCCTACCCGGCAACATGTTGAGGGAATGAACAGGGAGGAGCAGGAGGAGGAGAACGGAGAGGGAAGGCAGGAGGGGAGGAGGGAGGAGGGGGGAGGGGGATGGGGGGAGGGGAGGAAGGGAGGAGGGAGGAGGGAGCAGGAGGGATAGATCAGGTTCAAACCTCTTCAAGTCGCTGCAGGTCTCCTTGTTCGCGACTTCTCTGAAGAAACTCTAATAGGAGCGCATCATAGTCACCAACACATCCCTATGCTCCTGCTCTCCCTCCCCCTTCCCTCCATCCTCTTCCCTCACCTCTCTTGCTCGCAACCGCCTTCGCTCTCTCGGCCTCGATCGCTTTCTCCGCAAGTTCTGCCTCCAACTGCATCCTCGTCACCCGACGCACGTCACAACAAGCCGCACATGTTCGATCCTACGCTGTTTCCCCTCCAGCTCCAGTTCAGCTCTCTCCTTCGCCGCTTGCTCCTTCCTCAGCTGCAGACCGTCAGACTTTGGCTTGTCTTGCTCAGCGTAGGACCTCATTCTGCACGTGCTCCTTGCCCCTCCTGTTCTCCTCCTCCGACCAGGGAGCCCACAAGAACGCGCCCTCGTCCACGAGCATGCTGCGACTGACGTACTTCCTCCGATTCTTGGCGTCTTTGAGGTCGAGGAAGACGACTGCCCCCTCTGCGTCGATTTCCTGGAACCACCTGCAGCTCAAGGACTTCAATCCTGCACAGGTGAAACCAAAGAGGAAGGAGGAGGAGGAGGAGGAGAGTACGAGAAGGAGGAGAGTTGAGTACGAGGACAAGGGGGAGGAGGGGGAGGAGGGGAAGGAAGAGGAGTGCGAGCAGAAGGAGGGGGTGGGGAGTACGAGCAGGAGGAGGAGACCTCGTTTCTCCTTCCTCCTTTAATGCCTTCTCGTAGCTCTCAGGCACCTCAGCCGCGAGATTCTGTAGGACTCGCGAGTCTTTCGCCTGCGACTGGTCAGACATGACCAGCAACCAAGTCGTGCAGCTCACGAGCGCCTTTCTCAGCTTCTCCACCTCCTCCTCGAGCTCCTTCACCCGCGGGTCTACTTGCGGCTCCTGCTGAAGGGGGACAAAGCTGAAGAGAGACTGCTGGGAAGGAGCATCTTCGCCTCGGGCTGGCTCGGACGGCTTGACTGGCAAGAGGGAGGAGAAGAAGTCGAGGGCAGGGATGCCGGACCCTTGCTGGGCCTGCTGGCTGCTGCTGAGCAGCTGCTGCTTCAGCTTCTCGTTCTCAGCTCGCAGCGCCTCGAGCTCCTTCGCCTGCTCGTCAAGAGCAGCCCTGCTCTCCTCCATCGCCTTTAGTTCATCCTCTCGCGCCTTTGCAGCTGCTTCCTCCTCCTGCTCCTTCTGCTTGCTCTTCTTCTTGAAGACAGCGAGCCTGTTGAAGAAGTTGCTCGATACTGCCAATCAAGTCAGCTGGAGCTTGCTCGACACATCATACCTTTTCCTTCGTTCTTCTCCCCCTCGTGTCCATCCTGCCCATCTTGCTCCTCATGCCCTTTCTGTCCTTTCTGACCCTCTTGGCCTTTCTGACCCTCTTTGCCTTTCTGACCCTCTTGGCCTTTCTGACCCTCCCCCTCCCCCGCTCGCACAGGATCCGTTGCCTTGGTCTTGAGGTCTTCTTTCTCCCGGCTGACACTGTCGAGCTGATTCTTGAGTCTCTCATTCTCCTTGCTTATATCCTCGAGCTGTTTCTTCGCCATCTCTTCTTCCTTGCTAGACCTGAGCTGGGCTGCAGCAGTATCCCTCACGTTCTCACTCGCGAGCTTTTCCGCCTCTTCCAGCTTGACGGGACCGTTTTCAAAAAGGTCCAACGAGCGAGCTCCACCGTTGGTATCTGCAGCAAGAGGTCTCAAGCACATGGTAAGAGGGAGGAAAGACTACCTTGCGGGGTCGACTTGACTGACTTCCGTCCATCCGACGAATCCCCGTCGCTGCAGTCGCAAACATGACTGGAGGACAGGGGCCGGGGAGCAGCATGGCAACTCACGTCTTTTGTTGTTCTTCTCTCGCATCTTCTGCTGTCTGAGTGGAAATCGTCGCCGTCTCGACCGGGATTACCTGACTCACGAGTCAAACTTAACCCTGCAAGAATCCCGCATCACCACAACCTTGGGAGGGTCCGCCGCAACATTGGCAGAACTTTTCGCCTTCTTGATCTTCTCGACTGCAGATCTTAAGAGCAACGAAACTCTCAGGTCAGCTGGCAACCTGGTGGAAGGTCTTCCAGGCTGCACTGGATGGCCTTGGTGAAAAGCTTCTTTTTCCTCCTCATCCTCAGTCGCTTCTTGCCCAGCTCGGATCCAGGGCGCGGCCTTGTGATCCCAGCTGACAGGATCTCAGCGTCAGACGATCTTCACGAGGTCTTAGCTGGTCTCACTTGCGATGCGATAAAGTCTTGACAGAAGGTTGTTCCCGTCGGGAGTCATCGAGCAAGTCCCCTTGAAATCTCATTTGAGTTGAGCAGAAGCAACACCGTCAGCTCTTCTCCCACCTCCTTCCTCTTCTTCATCTTCCTTATCCTCTGCTTCAACTTCCCGCTCTTGAGCATGGCTGCCGTCCTTGTCAATCCACTGACCTAGAGCCGCCACACCTCCTCACCTCCTAGGTTTCCTTTCAGCTCGTCGTAGGAGAGGGAACTTTCCGGGTCGTACTCGAAGATGAAGACTTGCTTCAAGCCCGTGAGAGGTTGGGTCATGTTCATCACTGTGTTCAGAGGCAGCTCCTCCCGATCATCTGACGCGTTCCTGTCGCACCCACCGTCACTCTCGTCATCACAGTCAACTCCTGTTTGTCTCGTTCTTCAATCACCATCGCTGTCACACTGCACGCTCTCACCCCCAGCTCCCTTTCGCTCTCCTCCTCCTCCTCTCTTCCTCTCTTCGCCCTCACTCTCTCCTCTCCCTCCCCCAGCCCGATCATCCGCCAGCTCTCCTCCAGCACAAACTCACAGCGCGAAGAGCGTTGTCATGTCGGCTCCTTCGCCCCATGAAGCGGGAACTTCTCGATCCTCGAGGAACTCGACGATGAGCACACAGACGTCCTCTACTGTCGCTCCCTCCTCTGCCTCCAGCTCCTCCTCCAACTCCTTCCCCACCTCCCCGAACGTCTCCGTCCGCATGACGAGCTTCATCCCCATGGTCGCCAGCAATTTCAACTCGACTTCGGGTCAAATTTGAAATCCAACCCAAGAAATGTTGCAGAGGACCAGAATTCCTGCCACCAAGAGTCAAATCCAACGGAAAATAACCGCCGTCCCATCACTGAAAGTGGGCCGGGCCGGTGAGTCGCCGCTCACCTGCATCGGCCCGTGACACCGGCGGAGTCCTGGACTCGGGAGTCGAACTCCGTGAGGCCCCGGGGCCCGGACCGTACCGGGGGTTGCCCCTGCCCCTGTCGCTCACCTTCCGCGGGCACTGTCATCAACTCTTTACTCAAAGTTATCAGCTCAGGATGATCAGAACTTCGGAAAAAGGGCCAGAGACCCTTTGAGTCTCCTGGTCTCCGATCACCTCGGACACTCCGCCGGGCTCGAAACTATGATTATGGTCGGCGAGCCTCCGAGTCAGTTGTGAGGTTCACGGCCAACATTTGACCTTTTTCTTTCACTTCACGATTCGATTCGATTCAAACTCCACCCTTCGGCAATGCTAAGCGCTGAGGAGCGCATGCTCGCAGCCGTAGCGCGGGCTCGAGGGGGAGGACGAGGAGGAGGACGAGGACGAGGAGCAGGAGCAGGAGGAGCAGGAGGAGCAGGAGGAGCAGGAGGAGCAGGAGGAGCAGGAGTGCTATTAGAGCTTATCACAAGGCATGATGGTTCAAAACGCCAGGCATGGAGAGTAGGGGGACCACCAGATCCAGTGTCAGAGCTTGCGACGCTATCGGGATATGCTGGTGCGTTCAGCTCCGAGCAAGAGAAGCGTCAAGAAGAAATCACAGCAGGGGATAGAAGAAGCGTCAGGGAGGAGATTTTGCTGTCCCGTCAAGCTACACGCTCGCAGATTGTCGACGGGAGGAGTTTGAATCACATGGAACCCAAGGATGCGTCAGCCATGTGCTCTAGTAGCTCTGGTATGGTTCCTGACTCTCGGCCACGACCTGTGACAACAACAAGTGAACCTGCGGAGGTTCCGCCTTCCTCTCACGTGGGCGTTGGGCTGAAGTTACGGCAAAGGGGCTCACAATTCGAAATCCTCGAAATTGTTTATGATTCTCCCGCATGGAAGTCATCGCTGGCTATAGGAGACAAGATCGTAGACTTTGATGGCTCCCTTTGCGCACGTCTCAGGTCTGGTGCAGGTGAGCGTCGATGGATTTCCTGTCGAGAACTTGAGCTTGTCCGAGGTACCTGCTTGCTTGACTGCTAACGGTCTGAGATCCCCTCAAAGGTGGTCAGGAGGATCATGGGCCCTGAAGGCTCCACTGTGACTTTGACGACTGATACAGCAACTCTCGCACTGAGAAGGAGCAAGGTGACGATACTCCTCAGATCCTCTCCGAACCTGAGCAACGCCGCAGCCTACCTCGACAGCTCTGTCCTCGATGGCCAGGCAGCTAAACAAAGCTGAACACGCATCTTCTCACGCTCCTTCATCGTTGCGATACCAGGCGATGAGAGGAAGAAAGATAGAAGCTCATGCCTCCTGACATGCTTCTGCTGCAGGTCAATCTCGGTATCAAGGATCGGTCCGAGCCTGTCAATCCTCCTGGCGCTGCTCCGGTCAGTGACGGGGCTACCTCGACCATCCGTGCCAAGCTGCTTGAGGAGTGGAACACCATCAAGTTTGGATCGAGCTATGCCCCGGCTGCTCGGGAATCCAGTCAGAGACAGCAGCTGCCCAGCATGGCCTCCACATCCATGAAGGACAACCTCGCCTCCTCCAGCTCGCATTCCAGCCTGGCACCATCGCTCAGCAAGGAGGCGCAACCGCAGGAGGCGCAAGGGGGCCCAGCAAGGAGCCTGTCCAGTGGTGATCGGAACCCACGCGTGGACCAGGAGGAGGTGGAAGAGTCGTTTGTGAGGAACCTGGAGAACTACCAGCAGCGGATCGAGGAAGCTCACAGCTCCTCCGGGTCCAGGGATATCCTGCAAGTCCCGCAGGAATACCCCGGGCGGGGAGTCCGCGTGCTGGATGAGACCAAGATGAAGGAGGAGCTGCCGGGGCAGAACCTCGGACGTCCGACTGTACCGAGCAAGGGGCAGGTCGATGATCGAGAGGGTGAGGAGGAGGGCGATGACGTGACCCTGCAGGGGCTAGTCTCCTCTCAGCAGGAGAGCTGGGAAGAGGTTGGAAGGAAGAAGCGGGAGGCCTACAGCCGGGGGGTGGAGGTGAAGCAGCTGCTGGAGGGGGATGAAATGGACGTGGCAGAGGACGTGTCAGACTCGCAGGGGCTGGCGAAACTCTTGGCTTCCATCGAGCAGATGCATCGCAACGTGACCAAGAAGGCTCTCGACACATTCCTGCGCCTCTACGAGGAAGATGATCTGAAGAGCATCAAAGTCGCTCTCGAGCACATCCGTGAGGCTCATGACGGCATCCGCGCCATGGCGATCGAAGCGCTCGAGGCTCTTGCAGTGACACCTGGGATCAGGTGAACAATCTTCATCCTCCTCTCCTCTTACACCTGCTCCTGCTCCTGCTCCTGCTCCTGCTCCTGCTCCTGCTCCTGCTCTTCCTCATGCTCTTCCTCCTCGTTTTCCTCTTATTCAATCCCGTTGTTTGTCCTCTTCCTCGTCCTCACTGTCGCCCATCGGTTTAACTTTGCTCCCCTCTCCCCTCCCTGCCTTTTCCCCACACTTATGAATGTGTCGGCAGGGCGGCAGTGGCAAGCGTGCTGGCAGAGATCGAAGAGAACTTTTCGTTCATCAAGAATGCGGCTAAGCAAGTCATGAAAGGAGACGTTTCTTTCCTCTTGAAGTACCAAGAGAGCAAACATACGGCCGTGAGCTCCTCGGAGTCCAGCTGGACAGACTCAGGTTCACGCGGCGTTCTCAGCTCTCTTGTGCTCGAGTGCGTGACTCCCTGACGATGGCAGAGTCCGAGGAGGAGAGCCAGGCCGGAGAGCAACGTGCTCCTGCTCTGCATGACAAACAGGAGGGGGAGGACGGTCGGCTCGACGATGCTGAGCGGCATGTCCTGGGGAGGAGGAGACTTGGGTTGATGTGGCAGCAGGTTCAAGCGAGACTTCGATAGCCTCCAGTATCTTCGCAGCGAGACGAACAAGCCGACGGACATGGCGCAGGAGCTCAAGAACGCGGCGATCGTGAGCGAGATGAGGAGGGAGAGGAGGGTCTGATGTCAGCAAGCAGATCTTTCCCTTCCTCAAGCTGCTCGAGTCTGAGCTGGATAAAGAGCAACACATCGATGTGCGGGGGATGCAGGGGCTGCTGGACGTGAACGTGGAGAAGCTCGGGCTCGACCGCGACTATGCGGGGGACATGATGGTAGGTGACTCCTCAGCTCCCCTCCAGCTGCTGACGTGGCAACCCCGCAGATGCTCTCCAAGGTCTCGTTCGCCAACCCCACCAGGATCGCTCGAGCTGGGCTCGACGGGCACCAGAGCATCAGCTTCTGTGCTTGGCAGCAGAGCTGCTCGCATGCTCACATCCTCCCCGTCTACTTCGCGGGGGGCCCGGACCTCTTCTTCGTGCCCCGCATGCCCCTCGTGCTCGCTCAGGCCTACATCGACGAGCACTCGGCCGTCAGCGACCGCATCCAGCGCGAGCTGATCGTCCTGCAGGTGGGCTTGCAGACCGCCTGGGCTCTAGAGCATCTTCACGGGGAGGGTATCCTCCACCTCGACGTGAACCCCAGCAACGTCGTCGTCAGGTCTCACGCCGTCTTCGACACCGACGGAAGAGTCTCCACCCGCCATGGCTCCGTGACCTTCGGCACCCCCAAGACTCCAGGAGGTTCTCAGCTGCACACGCGGCCCTTCCACTACATCCACGCGATGCTGGCTGACTTCTCCCTCACCTCTCGCTCGCGCGACTCTCACACGACCATCGACGCCTTCGCGTACAAGGACATCTCCAAGCAGCCCGACAAGACCGGAGGCTCTCCCCAGTACTGGGCCCCCGAGCAGATTCTGCCCGGCTACTCCTTCTGGGGCAAGATCGCCTCCCCGCGCGACTGCCCGATCCACATCGAGGCTCCGATCATGGACTACGTGGACAGCTGGGGGTGGGCGGCGACGATGGTGAGGCTGCTGGGCTGCACGCGGCTCATGTGGGACATCGGGTACAGCGCCTTCGCCGAGTGGCTGAGGAGCGACGAGTCGCTGGAGCGCATGCCCATGGGCCTTGGTTACCTCCTCGCCGACTGCCTCAAGATTCAGCCCTCCTCTCGCCCGTCCTGCGCCAAGGTCTCTCACAGGATGATGGAGCTGCTGGAGATCCTCACCAAGTCAGCTGGGTACAACGTGGAGAAGTTCCACGCTGTGCTGGAGCCCAAGGCCATGATCCCCTTCGCCCGCTCCCAGCAGTACGTCACGTCCCTCCTTCTCGACAAGACCGACCCGCAGACCCGCGGCTCCTGCACCCTCCTCGCAAAGCTCCTGCGCATCTTCGGGCCCTTTGACGAGGCTCTCACGATCACTCTCGATGCCCTTGAGATGAAGAAGATGAGCATGACGGCCGGGAGGAACGACTCGCAGGCCCCAGCAGACGCCGAGCTGGCGCGTTACCTCGCAGCTGCAGGCTCAGCTCACTCCAAGGTAGGAAACCTCGAGCAGGCCGCGAACTTCTACGAGGAGGCTCTGGAGGTCTACCACCGGTCGCTCGTGCCCAATCATCCCTCCATCGCCGCCTTGCTCAACAACTTCGGCGTGCTGTATGAGCACATGGGCGAGTACGACAGAGCTATGGAGATGCATGAGAAGGCGCTGGGGATGCGGCAGGAGGTGCTGGGGGAGTGGAACACGGACGTGTCGGTCTCCCTCAACAACCTCGCGATCCTCCACAGGCGGTTGGGCAACTACAAGCAGGCGCTGCCGCTCTACGAGAGGAGCTTGGCGATCCGCCAGCGGTCGCTGGGGGAGACGCACGTGGCAGTCGCAGTCTCGTTGAACAACCTCGGCCAGTGCTATCGGCACATGGGAGAACCGCTCAAGGCTCTGCCGATGCACGAGCAGGTAAGATGCAGCTCCTAGCGGGTCAAGGACAAGCCTGATGCCCCACAGGCTCTCAAGATCTTCGAACAAGCTCTGGGTGCAAACCATCCCAACGTCACAGCAGGTCCCTTCATTCCGAGCTCTTTTCCTCGGTTCTCATTCTTGTACAGCCTTGAACAACCTCGTCTCTCTCCTGGAGCAGGTAACTCTCGCCCTATACTCTACCTCTGTTGCTGACTTGCCTCCTTCAGCTCGGCCGCTACGACGAGGCTCTTCCTCTATACGAGCGACGCTTGGCCGTCGACACAGACTAACGCAAACCAGGATAGCCGCTCACAGTCTGAAGTCTTTAGTGTCTTGTCATGAACTTGTAATGAAGATTTTACATGCCAACGGTCTAGCAAAAGGGCATAGGATGCTTTTCGCTTACTCATGGTGGTTATACATTTCATGCTGATGGATTCGACTGTATCTGGACGCATCTCTTTCAACCCTACCGATCGTGTCAGAGCTCGGAGTTCACCATGAAGAAAATGACAAACCGCATGTAATGTGTCGTCCCCGTCTTGAAGGCCAAGTTTTCTATGAACTCCATGTCGTGCGAGATCACAATCAGCTGAAATGTGTCTGACTCCGCCTTTCGTTCATTCACCAGCCGTGAAAGGGCATCAGTGAATCCCTCTATATTCCTGAAGGACGGGTCAGCACAGGACTAGCGTCTCGGTCAAAACTTCAGTGCTTCTTTCAGCTCACTTTGCGTCTAGGTTCGATGTTGGCTCATCCAACGCTAGGATCCTGCGATCAATTCAGAGGGGTCTTTGAGAGACGATCTGCAAATACCCGCAGTTGTGACAGAATGTTTCTGCAAGTGCAAGCCTGACGACCAAGGAGGCTAAGACCTGTTCTGTATATCAGAGAGCTGTGATCTTCTATGATCAGTGGACACCTTCTGTCCTGCAGAACACCTTCCGCGCATATCCAGCTCAACAGCATCTAGACATTTCATGACCTTGACAATTTGAATGAGTGGCACATTAAAACATATCAACCTATACCAGGCGATAGTTGTGAGTCCGGCGATTGTTGGATTCGTCGACATCCGTTTTGATTTCGATGTAAGCGATATCATCGCCCCGATAGGTATTCTGTCGAAAGCTTACAATTTGATAAGGAGATTGGTATTCTGACCTGCCAGAACTCTTTCAAAGACTGATTGATCTGCTCCATCTGACGAAGCAAGACTCAACTTAAAACTAATTACCAATTGGTGGGACTTCACCTTTAACGTGTGAAACTTGACAAGAGCTCTGTCTAATGCTTTGTAGCTCTTGTCTAAGTCTTGTTCAGCGATTCTTTTCGCATTAAGCTTCACAAGCTCCAAAGCATAAATCTTATCGATATCTTGGTATTCACTTTTACGTAGTTCTGACTCGCATCCCCGTATTCCCTCGGCATCCCGTTCCTGCGAAGCATTTGAATTTCCCGATTCGTCATTAGTTGGAAACAAACCAAAGATCCACGGATTTGATTTATTGTGGCTTTGATGCCATCCACTCTTTGGATCAACTCTTTTTGTTTCTATCAGCATTTTCTGTTATATGAACACTAATCTGCAAGCAAAAGTACTCGTTTTAGGTCTTGGATTTTGCTTGCGCTCGGGATCTCTTTTCGAATAGCAGCAATATCCCGATGGCATTGCTCACAATCGCTTTCACATTTTTTGAACTTCAAAAAGGCTTCGATGGACCTGAAAGACTTTGAGATAAGCAGCCTTGATATAACATTCATCACCAAATCATTTCTTGCATGTTTCTGTCTGATTCCTGGTTTCCTTTATCGATGCTAATCTCGCTTAACCTGCTCTCATATTCCTGATACGAGTGAGGTCGACATCACATGGTTGATTCATTTCTTACCTTCTGCTTTTTCTCTTCCTCTTTAATTCTTCCTTCCACATCACGAATTGCCTTGTCTAGCGAGCTTCTCGAAGAATTATATATTTCTGAGTCGAACGATTTCAACTGGAATAATTTCTCCTTCATCGAGTGAAGCTGGGAAAGGAATTATTCGAACGGAATTTGAAAGGATGCAGGCTACCTTAGAATCGTTCTCGTTTTGAAGAGAATCAATTTCTTTTTGTAAGTTCTTTTTTTCTGCTTCCTTTTCAGAAAGCAATTTTTCATCGTGCACTTGATCTTTTTGTGCCTTCTGGATTTCTATGATGGCGTTTTCCTTTTGTTTCTTGAACCCTTCGAGTTCACGTTGATTTTGTAACTTTGTCTGATCGAATTTTTCCTTTTCACTTGAGAATAACGATACTTTCTTCTGCAAAGAATTCTCTTTCTCTTGGCACACCTCTCTCTCTTTGAATAGAGCATCTATCTTTGTGTCCAATTCGATACAAGCATCTTGTAATTCTTTCTTTCTGGCAATCAAGCTTTCATATGAAGAATTTTGACCATCATCCTGAGCAGTATCGGAGACCTTGGAATCCGAAAGTTCTGATTTCATTCTTGCAAGAGACTTAAGATCCATCTCATCCAATATACTTGTCAATTGATTTACCTTCTCATCATGCTCCTCTGCCTCTTGTTTGCGCTTTGTCAATGCTTCTTGGGAGTCGATGGCAGAAGCTTTGATTGCAGAAAGTTCCTCCGCTTCTTTTGACTTCTCCAAAAGCTGAGCCTCAAGTCCTTTCAGTTCTTGCCGAAGCTCGCATGCATGCGCGACATGTCCGATCTTTTTGTCCACTTCCATGATTTGCTCTTCGAGTTTTTTCAAGACTTCGGGTGTGACATCTGCCTGTAGCGATGCGCATTTTGATTTTATCTTTTCCAGCTGTCTCTCCGATTCCACCTGTTTTGCACAAATTGGACATTTATGATGTTCAGAAGCAAATTTTTCAAAAGTTTCAACCAAAGATTTCAGGCTCCTATTTGCAACACACTGCTGATTTAGAATTTCCTTATCATTGTTCAAACTTTTGGTCAATCTTTCTAGGTTCGCATCAACGTCCGAACCTAGCATGGATTCTCGGGTTGCTCCTCCCTTGACAGCAGATTCTTGAGATCGATTTCTTAGGTCTTCACAACTCTTTTTGAGCTCATCCATTTCTGAACTGACTTTGCGAAGATTAGAATCTGAAGTTTCCAGAGTTTGTTGATGTTGAAACATCTCATTTTTGATTCTGTCCATGTTCCGTCTACTTTCTTGGGACAATGTCGCGATGTCGTTTGCATTTTGCAGGGATTCCAGGTCGGGGCGAAACTTCATTATTTCTTGAAATTTTCTATCATTTTGGGCAAGTATTTCATTGGCTTTTGCAAGACGCGATTCGTAATCTCGTTGCTTATGTTTCCAGGATATGTATTCGTCATGTTCGCATCTCCTCCTATTCAGTTCAGCTTCAATTTGTTCCATTTCAAGCTTCTTGTTCTCTTTCTCACCCCTAAATTCATCAATCCTCCTTGTAAACCGTTCTTGGCCACCTGATTCCTTGAGTTCATCCAATTCTTGCTGAACTTTCGTGATTTCAACCTCCCGTTCTTCCCACATTTTGTCATTGGAAGAGAGAAGAGATTGCTTTTCGTTCAGGATTTTGATTTGTTTTTCAGCATCATCCATTACCTCTTTCTTTCTATCCTGAAGATCTGCATTCGATTTTGTTTTGTACTGAAGATGACTGATAATCTTGTGACACTCCAAGAAGTAAGCCTTTTTCTTTTCCAGATCTATCTGATGCTGACTTTGTTGTGCATTGATAGCATCTCCAAATACACGAGAAAACGACGATTCTATACTAATCCCCACTTCATTCACATCTGTTTTGTCAAGTGAATATTCACTTGCGATATCCTTACAGAATTTGAGCCTTTCCTCTTTTTTCGTTTCCAGGAGTTGCTTGTCTCTAATGAGATTGCTTTTGTCATTCTTGAGCCGTGAAATATTCTCCTGACAGTCATTCAACTTGCCTTTCACATCGTTCTCTTCGTTTACAAGATTTTCGAAAGATTCTTGACAATCGCGGTCTTGGACCTTCAAATCTGCCAAGAGCGATTCCAATGTATTCACATCCTCGGTAAATTCCTGTTTCACGTCTGCTTCTGCTTGGGCTTTGAATTTTTCAAGAGTCTCAAGCCTTCCTTCCAAGCTTTTCACTTGAGTTTCTTTGTCAGCGTATTCATCAATCGTATTGGACAAATTTTGCAGCTCTTGTTCAGCGTTCTTGCAGTTCTTTTCATGCATTTCAATCTGTCTTTTCCCCTCTTCACTCCTTTGCTGATAATTTTGAAGATTTTCTCGTTGTTGCTTTGCATGATCTCTGTTTGTCCGTAACCTGTTGACTCTTTCGTGAATTTCTTTCAATTCAGTTTTTGTTTCCTGCTGGGTCTTCCTAATTGATTCAAGCGCCTTCGCATATTTTGTCGAAGCAAATATCGCATCGAATTTCTCTTTGATGGACCTTGAATCCCCAAGAATCCAGTTCGACTCTTCCTGATGACAGAATATGACATGTTGCAACAGTGCTTTTGTCACACCCATCATTATGGGGACAACATTGTCATCGCCACATTTTCTGTTCATGGACTCAGCTTCCTTGTTGGCACTCTTGATTTCAATTTCGCTGCTCACTTTCCTGTACTGCTGCTTTTGTTCCGACTTGTTGGCAAGCTCAAAAGTCTGCTTGACTGTTACTTGCTCTCCGTTGAGACGAGAGAATCGCATTCGAATCAGAGACGAGGTCTTGGTCCTGTTCGACGCTCTGGGGTCGTGGATGAAGGATTGTCCGGAAGATGCATGGGGGGGAAGCGCCCCGGATGTGATCATTCGCAAGCATTCGATGATGGTAGTTTTCCCACTTCCATTCTTTCCCAGAATCAGAGTGAGAGGGCATCCGAATTGAATTGTCTGCTTATCACGGTCATCTGGTCCGTATGACCTGATTCCTTGAATGAGGAGCTTGTCTACTGTCGTCATTCAACGGGTTCGCAAGAAAACCTGTTCTGTTCTTCTCTTACCCTTCTTTCCTTGTTCTGTTCTTCTCTTACCAATTCTTTCCTTCTTCCTTGCTCGCTTGCTGCCTTCCTCGCCCTGGGTGGTGCGGCTTTCTCAGCAACTCCTGGTCGCAAAGGGGGGTAGGGTGCTACACCCCATCCGTTCCCTCTCATGACCCACCCTACCGAAGGACAATGCGATTGGTTGATCTACCCCATCTCTTGGTACATCTTATTACTACCCCTACCATCAATTTTATATCAAATCTCCAAGTTTTCCACCCGAACCACCGTGTTGTCTACCACCCCTTCACATCGATCGAGATAAACCACCCCCATAAGAATCCCCACCCTTCAATTCTCTGACCCCCTCTTCTCACGCATACGGTAGTACCCGCAGTTGTTTCTCAATTTCCCGCCAAATTCGAGGTTTGTGGTTCTCGGACCTCCGGCGAAAAGCGAACTTGCTACTACTGCAGTGCGGGCCGGGCCGGTGGCGTCGCCGGCCGGGTCACCAGGACGGCACGGCCCTCAGGGCTCCGGGCCCGGGGGCGGCCCGGCACTGTCCGACCGGGCCCGGCCCGGGCTCCGGGCCCGCTCACTCACTGTCAGTTATGGTATTAGTAAAAAGCCGTGAGATGGTAGGTTGGCCGGGCATGAAAGAATATTTTCAAATTTGGTTCTAAACTTTTAATTTTCTGCAGAGATAATTTAAACATATTCAAAAGACACGGCGAATCGGAAAAGCTCGTGTTCACGGGAGAGAAAAACTCGCCCCCAAGCCCGCCTCCTCTTGACAACCCCCGGGCCCTGCAACCTTGCTTCGAGGCATGCAGGCGCCAACAGCGGCCATCGGGGACGTGAGGAAAGCAAGGAGAAGTCGACACTTGCGCATGGAGAGAAGAGGAAGAGGCCCAGGAGTGTGTCAGAGATCAACAAGTGATCGAGAGAGCAAACATCTTCAAATAAGGAAGGAAAAAAAATTAACAACAGAAGAGTGAACGCAGATGCAAGCAGAGTCTTGACCATTCTTGATCCAACAAGCTGAGCCAATAAGATCGCTACTACGCTAGACAGTACCCTGCCAACCCGACAATTTTCCTCGTTGAAACCGCAGAAGCAAAGATAGAAGGCGCATTATAGTTCATTTGCAGCAGATTGCAAGTATGGATGAATTGTACAACATGCACAGGACCGGAGGCTCCGTGACCGTCACGCCCAAGCGATCGGCTGACGGCAGGAGCGTCTATGACGTCCAGCTTGACCTGGCCATCGTCGAGCCTCTCTTCCACATGCGTCAGGAGGACGCGGCCAAGTTCTTGGTAAGCACACATGTTGCTATGCTTGCTTCTTGTCGAGTCCGCCTTGATGCGCGCGTGCTCTCAACCCGACCATGGCAGGGCATCTCCTTGACGAGCCTGAAGAAAGCCTGTCGCACCCTCGGCATCCAGCGATGGCCGTACGCGCGCATGCGCGACAGGACGCGAGCAACCCGGCCCAGGCGGCAGGAGAAGCGCGGGATGACTGAGGCCCCGGAGGAGGAGCACGGGGGAGCGACGAAGGTCATCGAGGGTGATGAGAAAGACGACGACAACAAGAACGATGGAGGAGGAGGTAAGGAGGAGGAGGAGGAGGAGGAGGAGGGCCAGGAGGGAGCCAATGAGGACGAGGACGAGGACGAGGACGAGGACGAGGACGAGGACGAGGACGAGGACGAGGACGAAGACGAGGAGCTGGATGGGGAGCAGGAGAACGGCCTGGAGGGCAAAGCAGAAGGGAACAGGAAAGCAGTGGTGGTCGCCAAGTACAAGGCATTGGATCTGGAAAGCAAAGTCACAAAGATGAAAAATAATGTCACGTCCGCTGGCGAGGGGGAAGGAAACGTCAAACAAGAAGAGGAATCTGAGAATGCAGAGGGGCAGGCGACAATGGCGACGACGAGCAGCAGCAGCACTGGGCCCAGCACTCCCGGCGCCAGGCAACGGCAGCCCACGCATGACCTACAGGGCCCTGCCCCTCCAAGTCTCATGCCGCCTGCACCGCCCCCCGCCTCTCTTCCGAGCTCACAATCCAGCTCCGAGGTCAGCGCCAACGAGTCGTCAAGCAGCAGGACAGGCGACGCGGCGAGCAACGCACGTCGGAGCAGGGGGGTGACGAGGTCGCGGGAGTCGATCGACAACAAGTGGCTGGACTGGTACTTGTCATGCGAGAAAGGCTTCAAGGCTTGTGACCGGGTGAGCGGCACTCACGGTGCGGCAGGCAGCCCGGTCCGACCCGGCCCAGTGACCTCAATTCGGAGCCTAGTACTGTAAATCTCACCGGGAGGCCGGGCTTGACTCTGACACTGTCGCATAGGCCACTGGCACATGGCGTTGACCGTCGACTCACTGAGAAGAGAAGAACTTCGGAACTTGGAAGGGCAGGCTTCGGAAAGCGACACAGTGAGAACCACAAGAGTCTGTGACTTTCAAGTTTCAATCATCCGGCGGCACTCACAGTGAGGCCGAGAGTCACTCGGATCACCGTTGGCGACAGTGATCGATTATCCTCGTACTGATTTTTAACTTAACTTTGCGTAAACTGAGAGATCGACCGTCCGATCGGATCCGACCCGCGGGCCACCGTAGAGTCGGTGGCACAGTCCGATCCGGGGCCCGGGGACGGTCACCGCCGGGGCGAGGCCAGGGCCGCCGGCCCGCTGTAGTACAAATGTCTTATTATTGCCCCCACGCTTTCGGAAATTATTTACCCCCAGTTTCAGGCAAAAAGGTCAAGACTACCCGTCCTTTCATACTTCGAGGTAGGGGTCAATAATATGGGGTAGGGGGTCATCGAAGCGGGGGTGAGTTGTTTTTCATGGCCTTTCACTCCTCACCTGTCTCTTCGCCTCCTGCGCTTCCTCCGCGTGCCCCCATCCCGTCCTCACACTTTGTTCCTTCAGTCTCTGCTCCTGCCTCAGCTCCTCCTCATTTCTTTCTCACTGATACCCTCCATTGTGATTTTCTTACCCGTTCCCCCTCTTCAACCCGGAGCTTCTGTTAGATTGCTTTCCAACTTTGTTTCGATGACCAATACCGAGTTTTCCTGCATCACCTCTACCTCAACCCTGTACTATTTTTCAATGTCGTGCAGAGTGAGCTTCAAGCTTGATGTGAAGGTTCAGGTTCATTGCTGCCTTTTTAGGATTGATTTTCTTACCCGTTCCCCCACTTTCAACCCGGATCTTCTGTTAGATTGCTTTCCAAGTGAATTGTTTTGATTACCAATTGTACCAATACCGAGTTTTCCTGCATCACCTCTACCTCAACCCTGTACTATTTTTCAATGTCGTGCAGAGTGAGCTTCAAGCTTGATGTGAAGGTTCAGGTTCATTGCTGCCTTTTTAGGATTGATTTTCTTACCCGTTCCCCCTCTTCAACCCGGATCTTCTGGTTAAACCCTTAGACTGCATTAACTTAATGTATCTTCTGTTAGATTGCTTTCCAAGTGAATTGTTTTGATTACCAATTGTACCAATACCGAGTTTTCCTGCATCACCTCTACCTCAACCCTGTACTATTTTTCAATGTCGTGCAGAGTGAGCTTCAAGCTTGATGTGAAGGTTCAGGTTCATTGCTGCCTTTTTAGGAGATGTATGCTGATTTGGCATTGGATCAAAGCAGTAGCAAACATCCTCAGAAAGGAGCCGATTGTTTTGTTTGATATTGCAAGAGTCCGAAGTAGTATGAATCACGTATATGCAAGAAGCTCTTGCCCATCTATGTGGAAGATCAAGAAATTTTCTGTTTTAGTGTAGGGATCCGTCGGTGAGCGAGATTTGCTTTAAGCTTCTTGCTCGCACTGGCCAGCTCAGCACTCGCTCGGTGATGTAGTGTTGAGTTTCGATTCCATGCTGTCATGTGGGTTGTGAATGAAGACGCGGTAAACCGATATGGAGGAGGGACTTGCTCTTTCTCTGTGTGAGCCCTTCCGTGCTGCCTCTTTCATGCTGCTTCAGCTTTACCCGCCACAGCAGAAACCCTCCTCGCATGCATCCGATGGTGAGGTCTGCAGAGACTGACGAGCGGGAGGGCTCACCCAGGAAGGAGCGCATGTGAAGACAGGGGAGCAGGAAGAGAAGGAGACAGGAAAGGAAGGTCACGAGGGTGCGAGATGAAAGAGAGGAAGGGCGAGGATGGGCGAGAAGGGAGGTCTAGGAGCAACGGACATTGTGTCTATCAAGGATCGCTGTGGGGACATGGGATAAAAGAAAGAAGCTGCAGGGACGCCAGCGATAAGCGAAGGGAAGGGGGGGGGAGGGGAGGAAGCGCAGGGAGGACGGAGGGAGAGTAGTTTGAGGGAAGGGGTGCATTTCAAGGGCGAGGGTGGGTGGTGATCCGGGTCGAGGGAAGGGGTCGGGGGTCAGGGAATCCACCCAAAGGAAAGGGGCGTGGAAAGGGACCGAGAGGAGAGAGGGGGTGGGGTGGAGGAGAGTAGGGGACGGTACGACGGCACAAGGCTGGTCTAAGGCAGGTAGGGTGATGGGGCAAGCAGGGGTGGATGGCTGCCAGGGTGATCCTGAAGCAAGAGGAGGACGCACCCCCTTGTTCGACTGCGCACTACCCCACCCTCGAGGACTGAGGATGCCCTAAGCTTAGCCTCAGCAGACTCATCATGGAGGCAGGGAGGAGGAGGATGGGGAGGGAAGGCGGGGAGGTGTACAGGCCGCCTTAAAGGAGAGAGGCGCTACGGCAGGGCAGAGGAGGTCGCCATGACGCGACGACTGACAGCGGTGTTTGCGACCGGAGAAGCGAGGACGAGGAGGATAACACACAAGGTCGCCGACGCTGCCGACAGGCAGGCAGGGCTTGCGGGACATGATCGACAAGTCAAGCATCGCAAGTGGGCATGCGGGCAGGAGGTGAAGACATGACAGGGTCGAAGGGGCTTGCGATGAGCGAGGAGAGAGAGATAGGAAGAGAAAGACTCATAAAGCGCGCATGACTGCTCGAGGCGATCCTTGATGACGTAGCTGTGAGCTCACAACGAGGCTGTCTGCCCCGTGCCATGGCGTCGTCGTAGACGTCTGCTGATGTCGTCAGGCCCTGGTAAGCAAGAGCATGTCATGCTAGGGCGCGTGATCGTCTTGCCTCGTCCACACATGGTACGTTGGTCTCTGGTGAGCGTGAGGAGGCGCTCCGAGCAGCGTCATCGTCGAAGACGACATTGGCACAGAGGCACGGACTGAGAGCTTAGCACGTTCATCTACACTCACACGCCCTCAGCGGGTTCACGACTCCTGATCCTCGCATGACAAGTACCAGTCCAGCCACTTGTTGTCGATCGACTCCCTCGACCTCGTCACCCCCCTGCTCCGTGCGTTGCTCGCCGCGTCGCCTGTCCTGCTGCTTGACGACTCGTTGGCGCTGACCTCGGAGCTGGATTGTGAGCTCGGGAGAGAGGCTGGGGGCGGTGCAGGCGGCATGAGACTTGGAGGGGCAGGGTCCTGTAGGTCATGCGTGGGCTGCCGTCGCCTGGCGCCGGGAGTGCTGGGTACATACCTACTGCTGCTGCTCGTCGTCGCCATCGCCTCCTCGTCCTCGTCCTCGTCCTCATTGTTCTCGTCCTCGTCCTCGTCCTCGTCCTCATTGGCTCCCTCCTGGCCCTCCTCCTCCTCCTTACCTCCTCCTCCATCGTTCTTGTTGTTGTTGTTGTTGTCGTCGTCGTCTTTCTCATCACCCTCGATGACCTTCGTCGCTCCCCCGTCCTCCTCCTCCTTGGCCTCAGTCATCCCGCGCTTCTCCTGCCGCCTGGGCCGGGTTGCTCGCGTCCTGTCGCGCATGCGCGCGTACGGCCATCGCTGGATGCCGAGGGTGCGACAGGCTTTCTTCAGGCTCGTCAAGGAGATGCCCTGCCATGGTCGGGTTGAGAGCACGCGCGCATCAAGGCGGACTCGACAAGAAGCAAGCATAGCAACATGTGTGCTTACCAAGAACTTGGCCGCGTCCTCCTGACGCATGTGGAAGAGAGGCTCGACGATGGCCAGGTCAAGCTGGACGTCATAGACGCTCCTGCCGTCAGCCGATCGCTTGGGCGTGACGGTCACGGAGCCTCCGGTCCTCGCCGGGTCGCTCATGGTCAGCGTTGCAGCTTGGGGTGGCGGGCAGAGCGTTACTCGAGCTGTTGCATGCTGTCTGCTGGGTGAGAGTGAAGGAGGGGTGGGTCTGGCGGGGTAGGGGCTAGTTGGCTTGAGTTTGGCTGTGGAGGAGGGAGGGGTCGACGTCTGAGCTCCTCCTCGTCATCGGTCTGGGCCCGTCCTGCAGGGGGGGAGAGCGCATTCTGCTTAGGCGAGGGGGAGATTCTTTTTTGGAGTTTTTTTAGGTCTTGTCTAACTTCGATCAGGGGGTTGTCACCCCTATTCTTGTAGGGTGGGGTGTGGTATTCCCGGGGGTAGTGGTACCTCTGTACGGCATCATCAGGGCAGGGTTATTGGAAACAGCTTGTTGTCTCCTTCGCTGGATTTTCAGGGGTGGGGTAGATACCAGAGGTAGGGTAGGGTGAACAGTTTTTGAGTTTGATTATTGGGGTGGTAATTGGGGCAAGCACCCCTGTTGCATCCTCGTTGTGGACCTCCTGTGAGATTTGACTCCGCACCGCGGAAACCTTTTCTCCTCTCCTCATCTGTTGATGATGACGGAGCAAGGTATTTGACCGCTGTTGTTGTATTGGTTACCGTTGATATCTCATTAGAAGTATGACTTTGGAGTCACGCATTGCAGGTGCAAGGGTGTGCTGCTCTACCATGAACTACGGTCACTTTCACACTAATCGGTGCAGCGCGCAAGCAACCTGAATGTGAAATTTTCGAAAGAAATCTAGAGAGGGGTCTTTCTCTATGGCCTCACACACCAATCTCTGTGTCCTTTCTAGATATCAGTTGGATGAAACTACTATTGTATTGATGTAAAGAAAGCATGCAAGTGCGGTCCTTTTCCCACCCTCCGCAAGTTCAATTCGATATGCCACCCTAGCTACTAGTTTACTCACCCCACCCCCCATACAAAAATAAGACACTACCCACCTACCACCAAAACAAAAGAAAAAAAAAGATGGAGAAATAATTAAAAAAACTCCAAAAAAGAATCTCCCCCTCGCCCAAGCAGAATGCGCTCTCCCCCCCTGCAGGACGGGCCCCGACCGATGACGAGGAGGAGCTCAGACGTCGACCCCTCCCTCCTCCACAGCCAAACTCAAGCCAACTAGCCCCTACCCCGCCAGACCCACCCCTCCTTCACTCTCACCCAGCAGACAGCATGCAACAGCTCGAGTAACGCTCTGCCCGCCACCCCAAGCTGCAACGCTGACCATGAGCGACCCGGCGAGGACCGGAGGCTCCGTGACCGTCACGCCCAAGCGATCGGCTGACGGCAGGAGCGTCTATGACGTCCAGCTTGACCTGGCCATCGTCGAGCCTCTCTTCCACAT